AAAGTTGCAGATTCTTGAACCTATTTCTGCAGTTCCTGTACCACCAGACCTAGTCAAGGTTAAGATATCTCTAGAGGTTACGTTTGTATAAGCTGTAACACTGATTCCTTGATTCTATGGTTCATCCTGGTCTCAGCAAGAGAGAGCTGGGAAACTTCATGGTCTCACTTGTAAAATACAGGACTCTGCATTAAAATTTCTATAGGATCTTTTTAGTCATTCCAGGATAACCATGTTAGAATTATGTTCCTCCCTCTCACTTCTCAAACTGAAAGAAATGACTCTAGAGCAGCCTTCTTCAGTGAAGGGCACTCCAGGGGCCATCATTTGGCCATGCTCACTGGAGGTGTTGGGAGAGGTAACTTAACACATCAGCTGGTGAAGGCTTCTCTCACCAAAAGTCCTGCCTACAGAAGATTCTTATGGGAGAGCTGTAGGTCTCTGCCTAATTTCTACATTATGGCTGGAGAAGGAGAAACACAAGAAAACCATAAAACCTTCAATATATGATAAGCATAATTAATAACTGGCAGGTTCCAGCCTGACACGTTCCATTCCAAATATTTAAATTTTAAAAGAGGGCGATGTGGGTCGAGTTTGACATGCTGTAATGTCCAGACCAAACATTCCAGAAACAGGAGGCCCCATAAAAGTGTTGGTTTCTTGGTCTGTACAGGGCTCTTGGGAGAAAGGGAGGAGGAGAAGAGTCTTTGGTTATTGGTGTGGCCCTGACAGCCTGGCTGCAAGATTAGTAAGGACACCATTGCTGTTGACATTTCAGAAAACCCAAAAGGCAATGAGAACCTTTGCTGGAAATGGCAGTTGTTCCTGAAAGAGGCACCTCCCTCTCTAGTGTGAGGTATTCAGTTGGTCCCAGAGGGCTCTGCCACCAGGGCAGGCAGGTAGAACCAAAGAACAGGAGGTGTTGGTGGACATCGGCAAGAAAGTAGCACCCTTTTGGCTCCTACGTAGGATCCAGCTCAAAGACACTGTCATTGGTTGGCGAGGTGAAGAAACAGGTCTGGTCTGAAGCAGGCCGTTGGCTGCCCTGGCTGAGACCCAGAGACTTTTCAAAATCCAGCAGCTGCCCCATGAAATTGAAGTTGGGTGAGATGTTGGACTTCTTTCGCTTCACCAGATCATAGGCATCATTGAGGGACAGGTTGAGCTTCTGCATGAGGTAGGCTACAGTGACAGTAACTGAGCGACTGATCCCTGCCAAGCAGTGCACCAGAATGCCACAGTTCCGAGAGAGGGCCTCATCTGACAAAGAAATAAGAGATAGATTGTCAAGTGGATGCAATCATACACAAGGGCCATCATGTCTAAGCAAGTGGAATTGGTTAACAATGAGCTGGAAAAATGAAATGGCACATCTTTATCTCTGTGATGTGTTTGTGAGCCCAAAAGCAACTTTCTGTATGACTTTGCATTTTCCCATCTTGGTGCCTGGTGTATAACCCATAAAAGCAGACGAAGTAAGATTTTCACAGATGAAGCAAAAGAGGGATTCAATTTCATAATCAATCCAGATTGCAATAACTGGTTTGAAATGAGAGAGGTAGAATGCTTTGCTATGATATTGTCCAGTAGACCAGTAGTCATAACTGGATTTTGTAGATGCATATTAAATTTTGTTAACTAACCAGAAGTACCTTTCCAACTGAGCAAAAACTTTTAAAAATAATTCATCTTGCTTATTCATGACCTAAATGTTAATATCGAGATGTCGTCTTCTACATAGCATAGCAGGGCACACCAGCACATGATCAAGGCAACCCAAGATCCAGAATATGGGAAAGGTGAAACAGCTGATAACAAGAAAAAAGCTTTCATTCATTTAACACCGATGCTAAAGAAGATTGCAGGTCTGTGGCAGAAAGAAAGAGATAGGTGGGAAGAAATATATGTTCCTTATGACTGACAGCTAGATCAACCAACCAGAGTGATGAATTCGTATTATTATATAGTATTATTATTAATACTGCAAGTTTAGTCGGCAGCATGCAGCTAGAGCAAGGACTTGATATTCAACCACTTAGCATGCATCCTCCACAATTCTCGGATAGGACGTCGCTGGCCCTGCGCAAAAGCCTGAGACAATTTGGACCCCCACTCCTGCCTTTTGGCAATATGGCTGGAAATCAGCACATGCTACCTGAAAACTGAATGCCTTGCTCTGAGTAGGCTTCCCAGTGAATCACACTGAAATAAGCACCATTTTCCATTTCCCTCTCTAAGTCAAGAAGGTACTTCCGTGCAGGCTTTGAGCTTTATTTACTGTACCTCATCTTACTGATGGAAAATGGGCTGTTCAGAATAACATGACAAAAGGATCGTGAGGTGAAAATGAGTGATCAAGGCTTGATGTAGGAACCTCACAAGTTTTAGGGAACGGTCAAGCTATCCAAGGCTTGGGCCATGCTTTAGGCCTCAAAAGCCTTCTTCAGGGAACAGGGGGGCACAACATTGGTCCCCCCTGCAACTGATATTCAGTAGGAGATTTTCAGGTGCGATGGGCCAGCAACATATATTGGAAGCCAAATCTTCTGCCTGGTTTTGGTCAACAGAGAAGTACCCTGATCTCCTTTGTTTTGGTCTTTGCACAAAATCTAGGTTCCAGCAACTCACTGAAAAGAATTCCCATTTCCTCCAAATGGGAGGAAAACTCCCATTTCAACCTCTCTGCTAATTGAAGTGATTTGACTGCAGAGAGGCAATCTTTTCCAACTTAGGCCAGGGAATGGAAGCAAACCCCAATGTGTTCCCCATTTGATTTATTGGAGATCTCCATTATAGAGATCACAGAGAGCCTTAGACTTGCAGAAATTTCTAAGATCTGAACAATGCTGTTTATGTATAAAGGGTTTCTCCCTTCTGACTGATCCCTGGAGAGATCAGCATGGCTATAAGCTTCCATTTCCGGGAATGCACTTAGTTCAAGGGCTTGGGAAATCAGATCACCACTTCAGTTTGGGCTTACAACCCCCCCCCCCCACCACACACACAAACCCTTTATCTCAGAATAATCAAGTTAATTGATTTTCAGCAATTGACCTTTTTAGCCCCAGACTCCTCCAAAGTAATCTAGCCCATGTGTTCAACAGTGGGGTGTTATTGGTTTCTAAGGGGGCCTAAATGCTTATAAACACTGCAAACTAGTAGGAGCACAAGAAGGGGGAAGTTAGAAATCAAATCGCTTTTTAAAAAAAAAAAAGTGTTCTTTTTGTTTCTTTTTTAATATGTATAAACAACAGTACATAACAATACAGTGGAGACCTTCGTATTAGGCTTAAGATAGAAACCTTTATTATATAACAGATAATTTAATGTATTTTGCAGTTGTTTATTAATGCTACATTCAGTTTTAAATGTAAAATTTAAGCGACCTTATGCTTATCAACATTAACCTTTTAGAAATCATAGTTAATATTGACATCGGTTTTTTAACTGTTTTTAATTGGTTTTAATGGTTGAATTATCTGGATTGGTAGTTTCTGTTTTAACTGTGTACGCCGCTCAGAGTCACATGGAAGTGAGACGGGCAGCTATATAAATTCAACACATCAATAAATAAACTTTTTTCCCTTTATCTTTAAAGGTTTAAGTTATCTAAACATCAGAATGTTAATCATCTCCAGTCAACACTGTATAAATATCACTGTGCCCCAATAATATAATGTACTACTAGTGTTCTATAGGGATGGTGAATGCACTGTTGAAAGACCAGATTAGGGATAGATCATCATGGGGAAAATGTATGTGGTTGCTAGTAGTCAAAAATGACTTGATGGCACATAATCAATCACATCATCATCATCATCATCATCATCATCTAGGTATTATTGCCCTTCAGCTTTCTGTCACTTACCAATGAAATCAATAGCTTCAGGGAAGAACTGAGAAAGGTTTTGGCTCCAGTGATCTGAGATGGGAATTTGTTTATAATGGAAGTCACCATTCTTCTCAAAGAGGTTTGGTAGGTTCGGAGTCACATTGAGGATGTAGTGGATTCCCAGTTTGGCCAGAGTGTCCATGTTGGCGGAGTCACGGGCACATCCCAGGTAGAGATTGGGTAGGATCTGCACCGGAAAGGAGGGGGGACTTGCGCCTTCAGACTCCATGCCGCTGCTTAGGGGCTCTGACTCTGCATCTGAGCCATCTGAACTTAGGCTCAGGCCGCCCAGCCCTACGATGGGAGCCGCCAGAGGAACAGGAAAGTTACTGGCACTGGCTGTATCAAGGTTGGTTTCACAGAGATGGGGCCATTCAGCCTGGAATTTATTGAAGCCTCCTGGAGGAATGGCAGATTCAAGAAAGAACAGCATCAGTGTTATAGGTAGCATATTATAGGATGGCACCAGAAGCTCCCCAAATGTGGCAAACCCTGTCCTCCACCCACCCCACAATTCACATGGAAGATCCATCCACTTCCAAGGCAGTAAGTAAGCTGCATGAATCATTCAACTTCAACATATTGTCCTGATTTCTCTTAAACTGGGTAAATTTTAATGCTCTTGCTATTTTTTTGGCCTTGTTGCATCCACAGATAGCTGCCTGGTGGCTCCGTTTAGAGTGGCCCAGCTCCTCCTATGGGAGGGTTGAGCCAGAGATCCCCCCCACAAGCCGCTGTAAGGAAAATGTGAAGCATCTGTCAGATAAAGTCACTCAGATTTGCTCCAAGCTGGGCCTTGGCCTTGAAGCAGAGCCCAAGGAGGTGATTGAGACTCAGTCTGGGCTGGTTATCTAGGATGAGTCTGATCCTGCTGGTCCTGATGAAGGGGACAGGGTTCTCAGGACTGCTAGCTTGGCCACATGGGCACTGAATCCACATCCCTCCAGTTAGCTAAGGCTTTCCAGGAGAAAATGTGTGGTTGGATCCTGGCAGTGATGAATTCATACTTGATAGAGTTTACCCCTTCTTCCTCAGGAAGCCACTGCTGGATCTGACCATTCTGGATAACTTTTGTTCCACAGGAAGAGATCTAGTCCATGGCCCCTTCTCTGTGGGGTCCCTCAGGGCTTCATATTTTCCCCACCCCTATTTAACATCTTCATGAAGCCATTGGGTGGGGTCATCTGACAGCACAGGGTGAGGGATCATCAGTATGCTGATGATACCTACCTCTACATTTCCACCCTGGGCTGACCAAGTAATACTATGGAAATTCTGTCTCAGTATCTGGAGGCTGTGGAAGATTTCAGCTCAACCCTGGCACAAGTGCCTATGGGTTTTAGGGCCTATTTTGATTCTGGAGGGGTTGTACCACCTCAGACAGAACAAGTGGACAATCTGGGGCTTCTCCAGGACTCATGCTTCCTGTTCAAAGAGTAGGTGGCAGCTGTGGTCAGGAGGGCTTTTGCACAACTTTGTTTCATGTGCCAGTTACATCCTTTCCTGGACCAGGAGGCACTCTGTATGGTCACTCACACATCCGTTTCTTCCTGAGTGGATTACTGCAATGAGTTCTACATGGGGCTGCTCTTGAAGACCATCCAGAAGTCACACCTAGTCCAGAATGCAGTGGCACGGGCAGTTATGGGTGTTCCTTGGTATACCCATGTTTCACCTCTGGTCCATGAACTGCCCTGGCTTGCAATGTGATTCTGGGTGGAATTCAAGGTGCTGGTTGTCATCTACAAAGCCCTTCATGACATGGGTGGGGTTACTTGCCAGACTGCCTCTCCCTGGTTGTTTCTACCCACCAGGTCCAACAAGAGGGGTATGCTCCATTTCCCCTCAATTAAAGAATGTCATTTAATGGGACCTAGGAAGTGGGCCTTCTCTGTCACAGCCCCTGCCCTCTGGGATACTGTACACCTCAAGATTAGATTGACTCCAACTCTGCTGACCCTTCACAAAGCAATGAAAACCTGGATATGCTTTAGGGCATGGAGGTTGGGAAGTTACATGGCTGTTATTGTTACTGTTGAATGTTTATTGGGTTTGCCCTTGGCAACCATTGTAGGTGTTTATACCTTTGTTGATGCTGTTTTCTGTATTATTTGTAAAGTGCTGTCAGCCACCCAGATTTGCATCCACAATAAATAAATAAATGGGACTTTTCCAGCCTCTAGCCTAATAAAAAGCCTGGGATGTGCAAAATCCAATTTGGGGACAGAGTTCTCTGCATCATTCCCTCTCTGGACCATGTCAAACCTCTTCTGGACCATGCTGTTTTGAGAATGGTTCAGGGAAACTTCCTGGAATGAGGCCATCCCTGATTTTCTACCCCATTCCATTCCTGAATTCTTGAATTTGACACATCCCTATAGAAAGGGTCTCATCCAGAATAAATCTTTTTTGCATTTTAATGATAAAAATATCTGAAATCCACAGGTTTGATGCACCCTAAGGTAGCTTCTTAATATTGAGTGCTGAAACTACTGAGTGATCTCAATTTGCAAGATCTTTGTACTTTTATACTAGAGTATATTCTGTGTTTGTAGTTTTTCACTTTTATAATTATATCGTTTTATGCTAAAAGCACCTCAGAGTGGTTGGAAAACTATAAAATACATAATATAAACTACTGAATTAAAAAAGTTATCAAAATATATGCAGCAATAAGTAAGGAGGAGGGGAGAAGAAAAACAAAGGTAGAAATAAAAAAGCATTAATCACGCAGAAAACACCTAGATGGCATAAATGTGGGGAGCAGGGGGAAGTTATTTCAAAATATTGGTGCCTCTGCAGAAAAAGCCCACCGGGGCATGGTGCAAGATTATTTATTTATTTAAAGAATTTATATGGCTGCCCAACTCAAACAATGCAACTCTGGGCACCTTACAAGAAAAACTAATCCAAGATAAAACAACAATCAGTAATGATCAATAGGTGACATGGCTATTTGAGGTCCCATGCAGTGGGATCTCCCCTGATAAACCCATCAACTGTCCAGATCTTTAACAGAAAAGGTCATCCATTAATTAACCTAGTCCCAAAGTGTTATTTTTTTCATTATAAGCAAGTTATCAAAGTTGCAGTAGATTCATTTCCTTTTGTCCATCTCTTGCCATGGCTGCTGTCACATAACCCTGAAACCCTTCCCATAAAAACGTCCGCAGGAGAAACAGCAGCTCTCCTGCTTATCAATGTTTTCAGAAGAACAGGGTGAGCATCCAACTACATGGAAACTATTTATTGGGGGGAAAAGTTATTTCAGGGTTATTGGGTAAAATCTGCAACAAATCACTTCAATTACAACAAAGTACAGGTAAGGGCAGAGTGGCCCGCTCTTGTGGGTCAAACTTACCAAAAATATTACTAATCTAGAGGTTGCCAATGGATCAGAAAAAAATCACAGTGCTTCTTAACTGCAAAATGTTATGCAGAAATCAGCAAGGAAAGTGTTGGAAAGAATCCGGGATTAAATGTCTGCAGATCAAAAGGTTGGTAAAAAGCATAATCAACAGTGGATTCTGGAATGGGTCAAGCCCAGTGCATTTTGGATTGGTGAGAAGCCTCCCCGAGAGAACTTGTCAGTGTTGGGTTGCCAATATTTTTCCTCCTGAGGTGAGCGCTCCTGTCTTTTAATTTTTTAATTTTTATTTATTTATTTGAATGTGTTAGTCGCCCAGCTCCAGTGGACTCTTTTGCATGACAAGCAGCAGATGAAGCTCCTAAAGGACTGTAGCTAATCTTGAAAAAAGCTAAGTAGACCAGGACCTGGGGCTATAAGTCAAGAAACATCTTAGAATATGGCAACAGCAAACAATTTCCATTCTGTCCTCAAGAAACCTACGTAGACATGACCATGGATTTGAGGGGGTCTTTATATTCAATGGCTTAATTTGCTATATATCTATACTTTATATTCAATGGCCTAATTTGCTATATATCTATAGTTGAGGAGGTCATCAGAATTGCAAAACTAGACTAGAAGGAAGTTTCAGTGTGGTGAATCAATCCATTCCCAGCACTTTTCTTTCACTTTGGCTGTCCCTTCTACTCTTGGAGAGTCACAGATTATCAAATGCAGGAAGCATCATGCATAACATTCAAATATCCTCAATAAAAACATGGCAAGGAACTGGCCAGAGAAGACTTTTGGCTGACTTCCTAGAGATTCATAGCCCTTACTGAGGCAGACAGATCTATGATTTAATTCAATAGCTAGGACCGTTTCCATTGGACTTCTGGTGCTGTCCAGCCAGTGTGGCCATTGTTTAATTGAATGTTCAAACGTTTTTGACAAGACCCTTTGAAGCAAATTTAGAAGTCCTGAGGTAGGTGTATAACTAGTTCTTACAATGAGGGGATGTTAGCACAAGGGGCCCTGCTGGGAGAAATGTCTTTTATCTGTTTTTATTAGTGATCTGATCCTAGCTGTGGGCAGTGATGTGACCAAATGGGCAGACAGCCAAATTATTTAGCTTGATTAAAACAAGGAGGGGTACAGAACTTTTGAAATAGGAAGATAGGACATTGAAATGATGAACACATACACATATATAACCTGATGGTGTCTAATCTAGTAGAAACTGGTTAGGAAAGAGATCTTGGGATGGTGATACATTTTTTAATGATCCATCAATAATCTATTGATCTAATTGCTATGAAAAATACACATTTCAAAATACAGGTCATTTTAAAAGTGACCAGTCTAAAATGCCAATGTTGTCTTTATAAACAAATTATGTGACTATCCTTGGAACACAGTGCATGACTCTAGTTATTGTATCTCAAAAAAGATATTCTAGAGTTTGAAAAGTTACAGTGGCTAGTGTTTTCTAGATTAAGAAAACATAAATAATGGGGAATGTAATAGAGCTCTGTAAAATAATTCCTTATATGGAGAAAGTGGGTACAGAAAATTATTTTCACCTTGGATGAACAGTGTGACATTTAGGACAAATAATAATTAGATCTTCATTCAGAACTTAATTATTACCCGGAATTCCTTACTGCAAGATAGCCACCAACCCTAATGCTTCTGAAAGGCAATTGAAGAAATTAATAGACAAAAACTCCACCCGTGGCTACTAATCCTGATGGCTATGTATCACTTCCAGCAACAAGTAACAGGAGCTGGGCAGGAGTGTGAGAATGGCACTGGGCTCTTGGTCCTAGTCAGGGTATCTGGCTGGTCACCGTGACACAGGATGCTAGAATACGTGGATCTGACTGTGACAGAAAGGGAGATGTAACTAGGTTTGCATTAATTCAAACCAATGGATTTTTCACCTGCTCCCTTTGTGGCACACCTGGAGTCTCACCCATTTGAACAGTTGAGATGAGGAAGTACACACCAGTAGGGCAGGGAAGGACAACAAGTAAGTAGGATAGGGGAACCAGTTGTTTCCTCATCTCCCAATTTATCAGTGGACTTTTAAAAAACAGAAGGAAACTCTCTGCTTGCATTCCAGCAACCACAATTTTGGCCCAGCTCCATCTTTACTCTGCTGCATCAGTCAGGAATCAATCCAGAAACCAGGAACTGGTAGGTTATTTCCTTCTCCCACATAGACTGCTTTATTCTACACACCTACCCTGCAGATAGTAGGCCAGGCAGCCCTCCTCTCGGAGCTTCTGCAAGAGCGTGAGCAGCACCGATTCTTCTTCTTCCTCCTGGTTGTCCGGTCGAGAGAGCTGGATTGTCCCCTCGTCATACAGCAAAACCATGTTCTCACAGAGCCCCTGAGGGGGCCCAGGCAGCAAGGATCGGACCGCCAGGCTCCCCTTCCGAAGGCGGCGCAGGAGTAATCCTGGGAGGGCCACGCTCAGCGCCCGCTCCACATGGCATGAATCGTACAGCTCCCGGCTGCGGCAATCAAGAATATGCAAGCACGGAGAAGGAGAGGCCAGCTCGGCCTGCAGCCAAAGCGTGGACTTGCCCAGGTCTTCCATAAGGCTGTAAGCCACGGTTTAGGTGGCCAGAACTGTTTTGGTCCAAAGCCTTGGGTCAACCTTGGCAGAATCCCTGGATGCTGCCTGAATTTTCCCAGTCACAATGATGCATCAGGCTGACAAGAGAAGTCGTGCTTGCCACTTGGCTTATTTCCACTCTTCCAGTGCCTGCGAAGGGAATCTCTGTGTGTGTGTGTGTGTGTGTGAGAGAGAGAGAGAGAGAGAGAGAGTGCACATGCACACACGTAGGGAAGGGTTTTGGCAGAAGGCAGGAGAATGTTCCAAACCAGGGACTGGAAGATCCCAAGTTCTTGCTCCAGAGGAATGTCTACATTGTGCTGCCAGTATCGATGGTCTTGTTCTCCACCCAGTTGTGACAGTTCTTGCTAGAAAAACAAGAAATGGGCATCCCAGACCATAATTTTGTGAGCAGAAGTCATCTTTCAATCTGTTGGCAGGAAAAAGAAGGAGCTGCAGCCTTTCTAAACAAAGATGAGGGCATCAAGCAAGACGTGGAGCCTGGAATTTTCTGGAGAAGGTCTGGAAAAGAAAAGGTCTGATGAAGAAATTGCTCCAAGCAATTAGCTGTATTCAACCGCTGCTCTGCTTTGCTCCCAGTATCCCTGATTAGCGTGGCTTAGCAAAGATTGGCTGCCGGATGAAACTTCATCTCCGTAAATCCAGAGTATCTTGTTTATCTGAAAATAACCTTTGTGCTGTTGCTGCTCTTTTGAGTTATTGCCTCAGCTTGGCAGGCTGAGCAGAGCCACCATGTTTATGGCCAGCCTGAAGAAGTTCCTCCTTTGGTGTGTCCGAGTCCAGTCTATCCAACTCCCCTGGAGAGGATGTGCTGGAGCAGAGGCCAGAGTAGGGTGGGTCCGTGGTAAGAAGGCATCCACATAAGCCTGTGGGGAGTGGAAAATGAAGAAGGACCACCACAGGCAGCGAGATAGAGCAAGCGAGCAGTGAGGGATGCCTCAGGACTCCAGAGAACAGGGTGTTGCTATGGCGGCTTTGAAAGCCATCCCTGGACAAACCTGCAGCAGAAAAGCAAAGGGAGAGAGGGCGAGTGGGGAACAAGAGGGAGAGCGAGAGAGCAAGCAACTGGGTGAGGGAAACACGGGAAGTGCGTGTTCCCTTCCTGGCACCTTGCTGTCCCCCTCCATCCTGGCCAGATGCTGACAAGAGACTTCCTGGCAACCAAAGGGAAGACAGCTGCAATTGCCAAGAGCTGGAGGGCAGCAGAAAAAGAGGTCCACAGCAGCCCCGCCAGGGCCTTTTCATTCGTTGGGGAAGAGGTGGCCAGCCTCAACCTGCCAGTCGGTCAAATCTCTGACCCAGCGGGGAGTGGTGGTAGTGGGGGGCACTGATTGAGGCTACACTGAGGGAAGGAGGAAAAGGAGTTTGCTGAGTGCTGTAGCTCAGTGGCAGAGCATCTGTGTTACCTTTGAAAGGTCCCAAGTTCAACCCTTGGCATCTCAGGTAAAGCTGGGAACAATTCCCTGTCTGAACTGAGAGGAAGCCCCTCTCAGTTCGGATACAGGTAGTCCCCATGTTAAGAACACCTGGGTTTAAGGATGATCCATAGTTAAGAACGGAGCCTATTGTAGCAAAATTTGAGTTAAATATACAATGATATGAGTTAAATACACAA